GCGACCTCACTTTCGAGTTGGAGTTGATCGTCTAATTATTTCGTCATCAAGATGATGATTTAAGGTCAGGATAGGTGGCATTCATTTAACAGCTCGACCAGGGAATACGCTAAGGAGGTAAGAAATCTTGCCGCAGCTCCAGAATTTCTTAGCGGGCTCATTTCGGATCATGGTGATTCGCAATGTCATGAAAGAAAGAAATATTGTCGCGGTACGAGGGCTCTTGACGAGCTGCCTCGGCCAGCTTCTGAAGTTTCGTAGCCTAGACCTCTACCTACACAACGGTGCCTATAACGAAGGATTTGTGGTTGAGCTTCCGTGAAAGCCCTTACTGTAATGGAGTGTGTGGGATGCTGCTGGCTCCTTGTAAAAATATCAAATGATCGAAAGCGCTGGTAAAGGTGAAACATGCTGTAGCTGTGAACGGCATGCTTATTGAAGCTATTGCACATGGTGTTCGACTTTGACAGGAATCCATAGTTCTGGAGAAATTTGTAGTAGACAGTCACTCGGAGTACGGATTTACTAGTGGTCGAGGTTTTTTGAATTTTCTTGGATAACTACTGGCCGCAGCACTTATACCCACCTCGTGGATTGAAGCCTCGAGAATGCTCTACCATTTGTTAGTCAGAAATGTTCTTGAAATTTTTCAGAAAAAAAGAAAATTTCAGAAAGAGTGTTGCAGAACTTTCTTTCCAACCTAATATTTCGATTTGGGTTTAGTAATACGGCTGTATTTATCACGAAATTGACCATTTCTTTGAAAAAATTCTCCCTGAGGAAATGATAAAATCAACCAGGCATACATTCCTAACTTGGTCATGACCTCTTCTTTGAATGTTACTAGTCTTTTAATGTCTCGGTTATAAAAAAAATTTCGACCTAGATCTCAGGTAATGGTGGCTCGACTGGTCGAGTTTGGTTGGGGAAACATCAGGGACGGTAGTAAAGTGGCCTCAACTGCTAGTTACCATGTGACCATGAGCTCGTGGTAACTTGGTCATGGCTTCCATCCATGTCTCCCTAAAAGATGCGTAGAGCACCTCTGGAACCCCTCCGAAGATTCCCCGTCGGAATGGTCGAAGTGAGTTCGAACTTACTTGGAAGTTGGGGTGATGACATCACGTGCTAGTAAGAGGATTAGCAGGGGTGGTCATCTATATAAACTAACAGCGATGGCGGCAGAGGAAAAGGAAATAGTGCGCGCGCGGTGGAGGGCGCAAACATGCTGCCACTTCATCTCTAAAAAGTCCTCCGGAGGACTTTTTAGAGATGGCCATCTCCAAACAGCCAGGCTGTGTGGGTCAAAGCAGTAAGTTGAAAAGGGAAAGGGAAGCAACTTGCATTGATCCGTCAATGGTGTAGCGCCTGCGGTCTACGTTGGTGTTGGGATTGGTCACGGGATCAATACTACGACATGTTTAATCTTTGCAACCTTTGTGGATTATTGCCTTTTCTCTACAACTCTTTCACCGTCGATAAGAAGGGCTCCATAGTGCAGTGGTAGCGATGCCGCTCATGGGACGGTGCACCGAAGGTTCAAACCCGTGTGTGACGCGACTTTTGCAAGCAACGTGGTGGATGCTCACCACTTCACCTATGGCAAATTGCCATTGGCTCAATGGGGACGTTCCACGCTGCCGCTGGCAAGGTTGCTGGATCAGCACCGCTTGGAGACTAAGATTTGCAAACAACATCCATTGCATACCTTTCATCAACATCTCTTCCAAGTGTGTGGTCGAGTGATCCCTGGTGCAGTGGCAAAAACACGGCTATGAGCCGTAACATACAGGGTTCAAGTCCGAGAGCGAAGCAAGTTTTGCATATCGTGTGGCGAGTGGATCGGTTGCAACTAGGTCAATTCACGTTCCACGCTCTCTATTCCTCGCCACAGTTTGGCGTGAAATCACACATTTGGTGGCAGTCTAGCGATCACTTTACTACCGTCCCCTGGTCTGAAATGGAACGAGCGACTTGTGGCAAACAAATAGTGACAATGTTCAGAAGAGGTCATGCATAAGTAGAGGGTTCAGTATTGATTGATTTCTTCCAAGGGAAGATAAAGTTAGAGATAGTTGTCGGTTTGGTCAATTTTTGTCGGCTGGACCTCCATTTCGCAGGCCTATTAATTTGAACACCATGGAACAAGGATGGAAGAGGAACATAGCATTTTGTAGAGCAGACAATTCTCTTTCGAATGGTATATGAACGATGTAAAAGCATGGGGATTTAGATGAAAATTTTTGGATGAAAAAAAGCGACACTATTTATGAGACAACCTAATAATTGCCACTGAGGGCTTACAAGAAAAGTTTCAAAAAAAAGTTTGCTCCCCGCCGAATCTCTAAAAAGGTGTAGTAGTTATAAAGCACAAAGCTTGTGTGGTCATGTTATCATTGTTCCCCATAAAGTTTAGTTGTTAAAAAAGAGCTGTGGGTTTTTGAGTGTTGAAAACACTGGTTTTCAGGGGAGGCACTCGAATGACAGGGAGAAAAATCGGTGCCAGACGATTTTTGAACGGGTCTTTTGGAAAAAGAGCGCAAAGTTCATAAAAGCACTACAGTCCGAGTTTCTTACAGAGGGACAAGAATTGCAAAAAAATTAATTGAAAGAAAGTATTACAGTTAATGCGAAACCTCACAGTCAAAAATCGGATTCTACAGATTTCCCCCAAACGATCTAACGGGACGATTTCTGGACTCCCTCGATTTTAGGAAAGGTTTAAGTATTCGTTAAGAATCTCTAGCCCTTCTTTATCTCAGAGGGACAACTACTGCAAAAGGTTCATTCTGAAGAGAATTTATAGTTCTTCTGAAAGCCAAAAACAGGTTCTGAAAAAAAAACGGTCCAGCGAGGCCTTTTTTTTTTTTGAAGAAAAGAGACATTGAAGTTTGAGTACCTTACAGAGAGAAACTTATATGGAGTTTCTAAATTTTCTCAACACTTCTCACACTTTATCTGAAGAAAAAGAAAATCGCAACCTTTCAAATGAAGAAGTGCGCAATTTCTGTGAATTCTTTGTTCTCTACCCCATAACTGACGTAGTTTTGAAGATAAGGCATCGTGGTTATCTTCCAAAACAAGCAGTTTTGTAGATTACAAATCTACTTAGCGTTTCAAGAGGTATTGATAATGAATAGAATTGCACTTATTTGAATTTTAGTGGTCTGTCTCTCCCGGCGCGCGCCAACGCGAACGCAGGCTTCCCAGCTCAATTCGAACTCTCTGCTGTAGAGTCCCATGCTCTCAGATCCGCCATGCACTCGTTTACAACTTGGAATCATTATGAATATCTCCATTTTGATATGTGCTTGTGTATCGACACGGAAACATTTTTTGTGATTTTGAATGTCCAGTCATGAGAGCAAGCAAAGCGCCAGTCCAACTAAAGGGCAATAATGGTCAGCAACTAATGAAGGCAGTTCGTTTTGCGATGTTGTACATAAGTAAACTACTGGTTATCAGAATACTGGAGCTCGTTTGCTAACTGCTCAAAATCAAACCAAGTCTTGAGATCTTTGCAGACTGCTTTTATTTCCCCTGATATTACCTTTTTCCTTGCCAATGTGCAGTGCCATAATAATTCAGTTGGGGGGTGGGGAGTCGTATCGAGACTCTTCAAGAGGTTAGTCGTTAAAAATTTTGAAATCGGTCCAATGTGGCGGTTGACTCGCGCCCCAATGGGAGTGAAGTCAGACGTTGCCCAAAGATCATTGACGACATTTCTGCAGTGTCATGGTAGCAGCCATTGCCATGTGTTCTCTCTCCAACTTTTAAAACGTATCCATTTATCGAGTGATAATTCTGCAAGCCTGTTATTCATTCAGAAGCACAGAAATTCCGATGGAAATTACGTTGGATCGGGTTGTATGGGAAGATGCCATTGTAGGCACACAATCAATTTCAAATGGTTCCAGGACCATGTGAAGTGGTTTGTGTGCCCAGTTTTTTCCCCCCGAACAACATACATATAGTAGGTTTGAAACTGAAAATTCCCGTTAGCTTGAGCGCTGAAATCGAGGACCGGATAAATTGTCTAGATCCTATTGTCTACTGCTGAGTTGCAGCTGAATGAAAACTATACCAATATATGGTTAGAGTATCACGTAGTTTTACTTGACAGCGGCGATTACAGCAGGTTCTGATGGGATTTAAGGGAAGCTAGATGCTCGTTGGTAGCCCTTACGATCAAAAAAATAAGAGAATCCGTCAAGGAAATGAGAAAGGGGGACCCACTCGTTCAACCGTGTAATCTTCGCTCAAGGACGGACGGTGGCCAAGACGGCGGAGGCATGGACAAATTTACCGTTAACGCCGTTCGGCACACCATGCCAGTCATGCTCCAGTCGAGCTGCTCCATTGGAGGCTGCTGCTGCAATGCATCTCGCTTTAATCGCCAACTGAACTGGTGAGCGGATCGCTTTCCGAAGTTCTGCTAAGCTGCCAATTCACCTTTTGTCACGAAAGCGCCTCACCTTTCTTGGCAGCGCTTGGCAGCCAAGTAGCTGCTCTGTGTGATGCATATTCCCTATATTGCGCTCCTGCTTTATCGCCAGATTTCCTATTAATAAATTGTGGCAAAGTAGAGCAAGGATGAAGTGTATTTGTATAGATTAGAGTGAAAATGTTGGAAGAATTTTTCATCGCCCATCCAAGTCGTTGAAGATTTCTTTTATGGGATAAATAAATGTTTTCGGTTGAAATTATCAGACTAAAGATTCCATCAGATTCAATCAATCAATGCTGAGTATAGCAAAAAACTCGTTGGCGCAAGGCGGGAATGAACCGCACCTCCACTCTACTGACCCCAAGCATAAATTCTAACAGGAGGGTGAAAATTTGTATTGGTAGGTCACCCATTGTTGTTTTAAGGCTTGCATGGCATGCATGTTTACACAGCGATAAAAAGCAACAGTTGATAAACAAAAACACATCAATAATGTTATATGGCATCAAGAATACAAAGAAATAAGTGAATATTGATCCATCCTGCAGAGGTGTCACATATTTGCGTCGAAAAGCTGAGCGACAAACTTCACAGCCACGCTCTCGACTGGCTTGGCTTTGTCTCTGATATCTGAAATCATAGCGAAGAATTGAACTGAACCTAAATCCAAATTCTATGATACTACAGTAACCACAAACATACTCTATGCGGAACCAACCTTTTCTTAAGTGCATTGCTTTGATTATTGGCCCACGATGTACTGCTGATTCCCTGAGTAATTCATTAAGTAGAACAGTAGCTCATCTGCTAATGAGAAGGGTTTTCCTGGGAAGTCACGAATACTTGTAGGAGTTAAAGTCTCTTTTTCTAGCCATCAGGAGATGAAGGAAGTGCTATTATTAACATTTCATGATAACTGCCCTATTTTCCTGATTTTTCATGTGTGTTAGCGAAGAACTGTTTATTACAGAAAGAAGAACACTCACGGTAATCACCTGAACAAGTTAATGAATGGCAACCAACTAGCCAAACTTGTATTCAACTCAAAAAACATAAAATGTTTAGCAGGCGGCTGTAGGTCAGGAACTCCAAGTCGCGGCGACACGCAGCTCAGAGTTGATGAGCAACTTTTCCTTTGGCCAATTTTAATAGAGTGTACCAAGTGACCGTCGCTATGAGAGCGCAGGATGAGAGCAGCACATTAGACCGATGTTGAACTGTGAACTAGTGTTAGCAGCCATCAACGTGAACGATATTAGCTCACTTCTTATAGCTACAGCAAAGGCCGCGCGCGGCGCCGCTCACGATGCGGCAATTGGATCTTCTGACCCGTTTCCTTAGTAGATGAACTGGACTCACCAAACAGCAGCGCATCCGGCCGGAAGAGATTCTTTTGTAATATTTTCAAAGTGAACATTTCTGTGGTGTTCACGAGTGGAAACTGCGTAGTTAGGTGAAGATCGGCTGACTTCGACAAATCCACTTCAAACGTCTCGCTAACTCTGCCAACAGAGTAGTCGAAGATTATGCTGAAATACGCAGTTGAATCAATGTTGAGTCAAGAACCTCATATCCTTGATAAGGTGCCATAAAAGGGCGGAAAAATCAGAAATGGAAAAATAACTAATTGAAACGCCATAAAATTATCGGTGACAGAGAAGTTGTTGATGTTTGGCAAGTTTCTGAGAGCTTAGCAGCCCATTTTGAAGACGCATTGTACTGAAGGGTTGCATCAACCTTTTTCATGAGTAGGATGGAGCCATCCGCTAAGAGTACTTTGTAGATTCTAAAAGGATGCGAGAAGGACGAGTTGTCACGACTCGCTGACCATCGCAGCACGTGCTGGCGATGCAACGGGCTACGCGCAGAGGATGGGTGTTTGCGTCACATCTGTTTACGTATATCTCCTTCAACAGCCTGTTATCCTTCTTAGTGCATAGGCCTCGAAAAGTGGCTTCTTATGTCTATCTCTACATCGTTTCATCAGCTTAAGAAGCCCTGTTCCTCCAAGACTCTCCAGAGGCAGTTTTCTTACCTTCTACAAGTGACACCCCAGATGGCTATGCACAACCACACAAGCCACGCTAGCGCCACGCCCTCACCCTCGCCTATCGGCCCCGGAGGATGCCGGAAAAAACAGCGCCACATGATGCACCACCTGTGACTCAGGTCGTAATGAGATGATTAATGGTGTACCGAAGTAAGAAGGCTAGTATGGGAATTACCGAGGCTGATTCAAACCATTTTCGGCGAGATATTCTTTGTGTTGAGCACTTCCACCAACAGTCGTCCAATCGTCTTTGATTGCAAGGATGGTTTCTGAATACAGTTCTTTGAACACACCAAAATCATAATTGATCGAAATATTTTGACCTGTTTTTGTTGTGGATGAATTATGTACATGCTGCTTGATCAAGGCTTTTGGCGGGAAAAAATCGAATTAGGACCTGGGCTGCACAAACTCGTAGCGTAGCGTGTTTATTGGTAAGCTCTACTTTGCATTGGCACCAGATAAACCGGGGCACTAGCTAGTGGTGAAAAAGCAAAAATGCAGGACTCCATTAACAAGACAGGCACTAAAAAATATCCAAAATAAACTGATGCTTTGCAAGAAAAAGCTCGCCTGAATAAGGCAAAAATCACCCTGCATGGCCTGCTCTGACGACCGTAATAGCGCTACAGGTTCAATCGGCACTGTTCCAATTGACTGTCCATAGAGGACGTTGCATTGCGCTTAACGTCTGAAGGATATTCGTTATCCATCGTAAAATAACGGAACTTCAAAGCAAGACAAGGAAACTAGCGACTATCACTTTAAACATGGCCTTGGATTCGTCGAGAAAATGAAGAAGGCATGGGAAAAGACGGATTCTTTGACTCTACAGAGCCAACTGGTGGTCCGTTTGGCTCGTTCGACTTTGATATGTAATGGAGCTATCTTCAAAGATCCTCATCATCAGTATAAGGGCTTATGGTAACATGAAAACACACTAGTTGACTTTTTCTATCAGTAGCTAAAGATGCGCGCACAAAACCTGTGCTTTTCAGTAGGGTTTTAGAAAGGCTTTTTGCTAAAATCTTGAGAAGGACGAAGGGCTTCGAAAGCACAGCATATGATAAAACTTGTGCCGCACTTCCTCTGGAAAATAAATGCAGCACACTATAAAAGGGGCTATGGCCACGACAATGAGAGAGGAATGGCTAGAAACACCTAAAATAAGCGCCAATGGTTTCCCTGTTGCAGACTAATGTAAGCGGCAGAAGGACACTAAAGCCCTAGGAAACCCTATGCCGTAGCAAGAAGCAGACTTGAGCGAAGACGAGAAAACATCATTCAGTCTCATATTTCAATACTTTGTTGTACAATGGAGGGCAAAAAAAGCAATTTCGACCTATGGCGCACATCACCAGATTTTTCTTCGCACAGAAATGCCGCAGCTAATGAATGTTTTACGGCAGAATATTCCTTAGGTGTCCCCCATAAGCAGAAGCAGCCCCTACTTCAATGCCCTCACGGTCTTCAGAATATGACGTCATCTGCCGTCGCCGTCAAGCTCAACGGGGCTTACCGTAATCGCTCCGGCCTGAAGCTGCAACCTAATTTCTTCAATCGGTTAAGCGGTGAATAGCTTCCCAGAGACACTAGCTGTGACTGTGCAAGACCGCTTTTGACCGGCGTTTCAGGGATCGTAAAGGGACGTCGTAATGGTCTATGGTACCTCGACGACGTCGTTGAGCTCGTACCGTGAACCATGTTTCCGTGGGAAAATCTTCTGATGTCGTCTGTGTAGAAGGCTGTCATGTAACTTTTGATAGACTTGAATGTGCTCTTTCAATATGCAATTGGGCTCATTTGATTTGGTTTCGCAGTTCGAGATTAATTGCGTTTTGAATGTGGAGAGAAGTGACCCTTCCCCCCCCCCTGTATGTTCATGTTGTAATAAGTGCTCTTCGCAACTGTGCATTCAGAACTAGCCGTACTGAAAGCGACAGCTGAACAAAAAAAAAATAGGTAGAATTCAAGGGTGAAACGGCGCTGTGTGATGAAAGGTCTTTTGCATCGGTAATCAGAATTGCAGAGCAATTCTATTTTTTTCACGCAAACAATTGGAGTCTATTTTCCATGTCCAGTGGAATCAGCGTAACGCGAGCTTTGCCTTTAAAAGTGCTAATAAAAAGTGTTACATTTAACGAACCTTGCTTAATATTCAATGTAGTTTCATCATTTGACGGCATCACCTTCAAATTTGCAAGTAGCATTGGTTGTTTGTAAAGCGTCAAATGGAGTTCAGTTGTTTTCGAGATCTTGAACGAGATCGGCTGCAAAGAGAAATGTTTGAAACACTTTCTAAAGAGCACGTCGTGTGGTTCAGAAGCCTATCTAGCTTACCTTTGATAAGTGTTCATCCGGAGTAGTTAGCAAGAGGAAATCATTGAATAAGAATAGCTACCTAAAAGGCGTCCACTGCGCTGTTTGTATAGCACACCAGAATGAAGGAACGACCGAAGACCCTGGAAAAAATATGGGGCGTTCGAATTAGCTGCATTTCAGCTGCATAATTCAGGAGAACGGGATCCTTCTACTTATTGTTTGTCATTTGTAAAACATCCAAAGTTTGCTACACAATAGCACAAACCGCACGCTACGTATAAAAAAGCTCGAGGCACCTACTGGGAGCCATTCACATCGGGTACTCTGTGAATGGGGCAGAATATTTTGAATTTTTGCAGTGAGAAGGGTTGTTTGTTGTAGTCGCGATCTGACCCAAGCCCAACTTTACCATATCCCTATGGTTAGGGGTGCATTAGGTTTTGGTAGGTGGAGTGAGGGTAAGATAGGGCCAGGTTATAGATAAGGAGAGTCACAGGTTAAGTATCACGGTATCCCAACGAGTGGTATGCTCTGCCCGAATTGAAAGAACTTCCAAGGAAATTTCTTACCAAAAGTCGTGTGTCAGAAGTGAAGTCAAGTCGCAGAGACGGTGGGCATTTCACATGTGATTGAGCCCAACGCAGTAGGAAGACGTTCTCTTCCTCAGTGACAGCATGGTTCACCTCAGAGACAAGAGCACGGAGCAGTTGCAAGGCTGTGTCCAGGTCCTAGATGGAGTCGCCAGATTACGGTGAGAAATGAATTCATTGAAAGGATACGAACCTGGTGTAAGTCGCCCTTAGGATCACTCTCCTTCAGGATTTTCTCGATTAGTAATGGATACCTGAAAAAGTAGAGCATGGTGTTTGAGGACTATTCTTCCTAAGCCTGTACTTTCATTGCTCAGGCTTTCTCACGGTTTAACTATCTCGAAACACAGAATATATTTAGTATTTATCCAGATTAAATAAGTTCATGCCCATTTTCAGGGAGGCACCACAATTATACAGATTTTGTTACAATTCATCCAAACATCGAAACGGACCTTGTGATGCGTCCAAGCGGCAATAGAAGAAATGTACTCAGGCTCATACCCCGAGCCTCAACGCTCGACGTGCATTTTGTGTAGAGTTTCTGCGCATCCGGATGAGTCAACAACTGATTCAATGCGTCCAGTGCCATTTGCTGATGACTACAGAAAGCCACGAACACCGAAAGTGAGTCGATTTCCGAAATGATTACGTGACCTGGAATACAGCGGCTCATTTTTGCATATTTCTTTGAATTATGTCCAGCTTTTGAGAGCGAAGAGGAAGAAAAATTTCTTTGTTGCTGTAGAGCTCACGAAGAATCTTGATGTACTGAGTAGGGACGCCCTGGTTGCGCAAGGCTTCGATGACCGCTTCTGTCTCCACAGAGTCGAAGGAGGAGGGGTCAGTAAAGAAATTTTGGAAGAAATCAAGATATAATTTCAACTAGTCGAGCGAATTTTTCATACATTAATTACAAAATTGTAACAAACATACGAAAATTTCATTCTTTGTGCATACTAAATTATATTTGGTATGCAATCTCTTCCTCCCCAAAGAGGTACCCCACAGGAGGCCTGTCGCGCGGCGAGAAGCCAAAAGCGCGGT